TGCAAACTTCCCCAGTTTTCAGACTTGTTTTCGAGCCAAGTCTGGAATCTTCGGAATTCGAATCGAAGTTCTAGTCTGAAAAGTGAAGATTCCGGACTTGCTAAACGTCCCTATTGCTGACTACACAGTAGAATTATCTCAGATTTTCCCTATTCGCAGTTGGGAAAAACGCGGACGATATTGATTTAACGTCATTAGTGCAAGGTTTAACAAGAGGTCCCATGACGTAGAACGATAAAACGTCGACACGTCAGCTTGGCGCTTTTGTAGTGTTTGCGTGCTTTGCATCATATCCTGTTACCTTACCCGAAGCGCCTTTACCTCTTACTTCAAGCTCCTAACCTTCATGGAAGTAAAACGTAGTTGGAAAATCCAAGGACTCCCACCTGAACCTAATGGGGCCTCTCGTGGAGGTTGTGCAAAAAAGTATGAAGGATCAATGTGCAATAAATTTGAAACATATATATTTTATCGAAATTGAGTAATCTGAAAGGATTGGCGAGTAGCTCTTGTTGTCCTCTTTATTTAGCACGTGCAATGGCAAATTGAGCATCCCTTTCAGAGATGTTATGGAAAAAGATACCTTGCGAAGCCTGCGACGCAGTTCCAACTTCATTTGATTGTCTTATGAAAGTGAATAAAGAAGTACTCCGGTTTTCAGTTTTACTCTTTGAATTTATATATATGCGAATATCTTTTTGTCGTCATCTACTCAAAAGCAGCCAATCCGACTGAGCCAATTTCATATCTCAGGTATTTTATTTTCTTGTTTCACAAAAATTGCTGAGTTGGGACATGACAATACTGTGAACCTCCCAAGAAGTTGCTACAATTGTTTGGCATGATGATCGCGACATGGCCGGCATGGCTGGCGCTGTCGCTTGTAAGCGGCCTGGTAGTGCCCCCGAGGGTATACCAATGCAAAGACAACCTGTGTGTCCAGGAGGCTATCGCGTTCACAGCAAACGGCACGTCGCTATCCATCTGCGAGCTCACGTGCGGGGATGGGAGTTTGTGGCCAAAGCCGACAAAGCACCAAGACGTCGGTCGGTCCGTGCAACCGATCTCGATCGCTTCCATCACCCACTCGGTTACCTTCCTCGACCATACAAACTACAACAGTGCTCTCGCTCCGGCAATGCAAGCCGTCTTCCATGACGTTCTCGAGACCAAAGCCAACGAATGCACGACGCCTGACACCGTGCCAGAATTCTTCCCCGTCTCGATCTCGGCAACTATCACAACGGCCGACGAGGTACGCAGCCCCATACACTTCTGTTTCCTGTGCTCATGCGTCCATACAGCGCCTCCGCGTGGATACGAATGAATCGTACACGTTGCAGGTCAACATGACGGTGTCCCCGCATGTGTCGATCACGGCAACGACTGTGTACGGCTACCGGCACGCATTGACGACGCTCAGTCAGCTCATGGAGTACGACGAGTTGTCGCATACGATGCAGATCGTCGAGACGGCGTCCATCCGCGACGCTCCGGCGTTCCCCCATCGTGGGATTACGCTGGACACGAGCCGCAACTTTTACTCGATTGGCGCGATCAAGCGCGTGCTGGACGGGATGGGGATGAACAAGTTGAACACGTTTCACTGGCATGTCACTGACACCAACAGCTTCCCCATTGAAATCATCGGTACATACCCTGCGATACGCAGGACTCGGGCGTCGTTTTCAGAGCCAAAGTGTAGGCGAGCCTAGACTCACGGCGTATGGAGCGTACAGCGCCAGGCAGGTCTACACCCAGGCCGACATTCGCGAGCTCGTGCAGTATGGTACGCGTTCTCTCTCGTTGGGGAGCTCACTGAGGCGGACATAGCAAAAGTGCGCGGAATTCGAGTGATTCCCGAGCTCGATGCCCCGGCGCACGTCGGGGCAGGGTGGCAATGGGGCCCGGATGCTGGCTTGGGCGACCTTGTCGTATGCTTTGACCACTTGCCTTGGCAAGCGGCGTGCGTGCAGCCACCGTGTGGCCAACTGAACCCGATGAACCCGGAGGTTTACTCCATTCTAGACACGTAAGGACGCCCCCACCTGCTTTGGCACACGACGTGGTGTAGGGTTTACGCCGAGTTTGCGACGCTGTTTGATGCGGATGTGCTCCACATGGGCGGCGACGAAGTGCATGTGGGGTGCTGGAACATGACGGACGCCATCACGCAAGGCATGCCATCGCGAGAATCCACCGATTTTGTCAACGTGTGGGGGCAGTTCCAAGTGAAAGCGGCGCAATTGGCGATGGCCCACGCGACGAACCGCAAGATCATGCTCTGGACGAGCGATCTGACCCACACGAGCGTCATCCAGCGATATCTACCTCCCGGTCAGTACGTAATTCAAAACTGGGACGCCACCACGACCAACTCGACGGCGACCATTGCCGCACTTGGATACCACGTCGTGCTGTCCAACTACGACAAGTGGTACCTCGATTGTGGACACGGCAACTGGCTCACCAACGGCACGAGCTGGTGCGATCCGCTCAAGTCGTGGCAAGTTCTTTACGACGTTGACATGCATGCCGATCTCCCCCCGGAACTGCACCAGTTTGTGCTTGGCGGCGAAGGTAGGCACTTGTTCGGAGTGTCTTGCATGGCTTTGTTTTCTCGATCCAACGACCTGCCTCTAGCCGCGCTCTGGTCTGAGCTCGCCGACGAACACTCGGCTGAAGTCAAGTTGTGGCCTCGATCCGCTGCATCCGCCGAACGGCTTTGGACAAACCCATCCACGTCGTGGAAGGAAGCGTACGGTCGCCTGCAGCGCCAGCGCAATCGTATGATGCAAGCTGGTCTCCATGCCGACGCCATGCAACCGCAGTGGTGCCAAGACCATCCGTCTCGATGCACGTTGCTCTAACGCAACAAAGTCATACGAAATGCACTTTCATGTTTCGCACACACACACTGCTCTGGTCGCACGTGGCTCGAACGGGGATTCAAATTCGTTGGACATGCAGCTGCTTTGGTGAGCAACTCACAACTCAAAGAAGCACCGGAATGCCCCGCCATTTGCCGTCGCGTTGAATCTGCATGTCGCTCTCGTCCATGGCACCAAACCGAGTGGACAGTCGTTCGACATTGCTCAGCAACTCGTGTGCGTTGAATCGGTCGGGCCATCGTGCACGTTGCTCGAACCGTGTGCACAAATTCGTGCTCGTTGCTCCGCAACTCTTGGTGTCCCTCCGATGCACGAACGTAGTCTCTCCATTGCTGCCTCTTATAAATACGATATGCAGAGCAACCGTCATGTGAGCACCAAGACAACACTCATGTTGTCCCGCGCGCGCTTGACTTTGCAGAGGTCGACAAGAGTCTGGCAAATGATGTCGACGGCCCACCCCATGGCGAGCCCCGTGCTAACGTAGCGGGCGATTTCTTGGTCCTGCAGGACGTCCGAAATGCCGTCGCTCATGAGCACAAAGTACCCACGGCTGGCACATTCGTCGTCGGTCCGCGCCGGCTCGACCGTGATGGTCGTGATGGCCGGTTTGGCAATGACAAAGTCCTTGTCGTCGTGCTGGCCAAACGCGCGAGTCACTTTGCTCACGCCGGACACGCGATGGTTGAGAATCATCCCGTGCTTGGCCTTGATGCGACTCACTTCGGTCGCGTTCCGGACGTGGTGGTCCTGGGTGATTCGAGCCACAACGCCGTCGGCGGTCACGTACAAGCAGTGCGAGTCGCCGCAGTTGGCCACCGTGATGTGGTTGCTCCCGTTCGCGACCAGTACGACCGCCGTCGACCCGCATTGATCTGCCGCGTCGAGCGATTCGAGGGCCGTATCGATAGACTCGAACGTGTCGCTGACGACGGATTCCATCGACAAACCAGGCATGGCCAACCGCCGCTGGATGAGCTCGACATGAAAGTGCTGTGCCAAGTACGTCGATACGACGTGGCTGCCATGGCCGTCGTAGATTGCGTAGAGCTGCACGTCCGCGGGAAGATGGGCCTGAATCACACATGTGTCTTCCATCCGACATTTGAACGACTTGTTCTGGACGGCCAACGCGGCAACCTGGCGGAAAGGGCTCGTGGGACCTGGCAAGCGAATACAAGTCGACATGGCCACGACGTCAGGCGCGTCAACGAAGTCAATATCGTCCAAGAGCGGGTCGGACGGTGCGAGGAGGCAGTAGAGTCGTGCTGCAGCCGCATGGGCGTTGCTGCGGCTGCGAGGAGCGGCCTTGGCAGAGGCGACCGCCGTCGCAAACAACTCGGTCGACGACGAGCTACCGGGGACAATTTGAGGCTGTGTGACCATGGGTGCCTTCACAGCGGTGTCCTTGCCTTGGCAGAGGCCCATAGCCCGAGGATGCACTTTCGTCTATCGAAGCCCCGTGTCGTTGCCCAGCGAGGAGTTCACTGGATTCATTTCCCACTGAGTTGGGTGGAACGTCCAGATACTCCTCCTTATCTTGATATTTGTATGTGTTTTTTCGTTTTTCTTGAAACGTTCGTGACAAGGCACAAATCCATCCACGCGGCGCTCGATCGCGCTCTTCCGCCACACGTTGCACGCTGCGTGCGAGTCGGATCGACTTGGTCGCGACATCCTGGCCTTGCAGCCAAGCCTCGGTGGTGTGCCGATCGACAACACGTGGAGGGACCATGGCCTGGCTACCGAGACTACTACCTCCCATCCTGGCCTTGCCATCCTGTCACCGTCTTGCCTCGTTCGGATCTGTGTGTCGGGGTTTGACAGTGCCCACGCGACAGTCCCGCCGACGACGTTGAGCCCAGCAAATCGTTTGCTCTCGTTCACCTGGATTCAAGGGTCAACGAGGTTCTCGGGTTGGGTGGCAGCCACTACATTCAAACTACAGCAGGTCGCTTCCTTGGGATGTGCCGCTTCAGTCTTCGTCGAGGCATTACAAGTCGGCGGGCTCAATCGGCCGCAGCGCCTGGTCCAGCTTGGCCAAAGTCTCTACTAACTTGTCGGCAAACGCGGCGTTGTCGCACTCGACGCGCTCTTCTCTCGGGGCAAAGTAGTGGACCACAGCCTTGACCCCGCTCGGCGTTTCGATTGTGATCGCATTCGTGCCGTGGTCGAGATCGACGGCGCCGTATTGGTCCTTCAACACCCGATAGACCAAGATCAAATGCAGCGCCTCGACGTCCCCTTCGTCCGCGAGGTTTTCAATTGCTTGGGTCATGACGTCTTCCTCGGCCTTGATGGCTTGAGGAATATGGTCCGATTCGTCCTTGAGAGGTGGGGTGACGGCCTCCGGTTTGATCGAATGGTCGTGGCGGCACGCCGCCGTCGGGTGCATGCTGATCTACACAAATCCATCAGCACGCTGCGCCAAAAGCAGCCATTCCAATACAACAAGCTCTCCCCCACTCCATCGACCGCATGGCCCATCCAGATATTCATGCGCCCACACAAATTGCACAAGCCAGAGACAACCATGCGCCGTGACGCGCCAGGCATCGTGTGCGCACCTTAAAACTAGCCGGACTCGCTTGAGCATGCATGGTGAGGGCCACGATCGAATCGGCAATCATGTCAGCGCTCGGGTCAGCCGTCCACTCAATCACAACCTTGTCGGGAGGGCAGTGGGTAACCATGACCCGCTTCCCGACGATGATCGTGTCGTGGGTGCTCGTCAAGTCGGCATACATCTGCCGGACGAGCACAACGAGCACGTCGAACGGCTGATGGACGAATGGCACTACCGAAAACGTATTTTTCAATCCCACGATAATGACAAGAGCATCACCATGTTGTTTCTGTACAATGCTGCCCACGAGCAGGTTGGTCGTGTACTCGCTCAAGTCGTCGGGGTGCATCACGTGCGTGTGGAAGTCATGTTCGACGAGGAGCCCGCTCACTTTTTTCTTCTCTGTCGAGCGGAGCTTGGCATGGCCTGCTAGGTCGGTCGCCATCCTACCCGAGGGGTTGACCACACTGCTTGACATATATGGACCGACGCACCGCCCAATGGCCTTGGCGACCTTTTCCCCTCGAAACTCGAGCACAACGTCGACCGTGTTGGCCGGCGTGTAGATTTGTGGCTGGTACACCTTTGGGTTGTGGAATTTCTTGTGGAGCGCGGCTTTTAAACGCATCATTTCTGTTTTTTCGCCATGGACGAGGACAATGTGCGGCGGGGCCACCTGCACCACGGCCAAGTGAATCCAAGCCATCGAGAAAGCCAAACAAGCATGCATGCAGCACTCATTCGCATGGCCCGCGTGAGAGCATGCCAGGGGGCATCGTTCAACCGCACAAATCCACTCCACTCGAGGGATATGGACCCACCTTTTCAATAAAACCCGACGTCCCGACAAAGTCGGCATGGGCTGAAAAACTGATGTACTCGACCGAGCAATTCATCGGCAGGAGCCGCCCGTCCATCGAGGTAATTTCGGTGGGAAGGGACAGGATCTTCTTGGCCAGCGTGCCTTCGACGACGTACCCTAGCCATAGGTACCATGAGCGCTTTCATCCTCTCCTGGCCATGCATCCTGGCTCGCTTCACAGAGCAGGACGGAACCTAGCTGCAGGACAACCACACAACACGATCCAGATCGTTACCTGGAATGAGGCACTCGTTCTTTTTGTCCGAACACCACCGCTCAAACAATTGCCGCGACACCCCGCTCTGGAGCATCCCGGGCGACGCCATCACAACGCTCGGACCCGTGTCGTCAAAGTCTTTGAGGCTCTTCAGATTCGAAATAAACTCAAACTGGAACGGGTTCGAAATTGCAATCTGCTTTCGAATGCGCTCGTTCATCATGTTGATGTATGTCTGGTACACACGCAGCGCCTTGGCCGCCAACTTGGACGCAAAGTAGATCGGAACGTTTTGCAGATCCGGGTGCGCCTTCCAGTGCTCGTCCAAAATCAAGAGCAGTTCCTGCGTCCGGCCCAGCGCAAACACAGGAATCAGGCACCGCCCTCCCCGCCGCACGACAGACTCGACCTGGCCCGTGAATCGCCCTTCTCGCTCGACGACGCTCTGGTGGACTTGTACGCCGTACGTCGATTCGACAATTAGCACATCGGGGCTCACGCCGGGAATCTCGGCCGCTACATGGCACGGATGAGCGACGTTGCACCGCGATCATGGCAGCAGGAAAGATACATAAATGTCAAACCCAGCGCGTTGTGCAAGACTCGGGGAATAAGAGGTACCCATGAGGTGGCGATCGTTCTCGAGGGAGTAGTCGCCCGTGTACAGGACCTTGACACCACCGATCTCAATCAGGAACATGCACGCGCCAAGCACATGGCCGGCATTGTATGGCGTGAACTTGATCCCGTTGATCATCTTCTCCTGGTGGAAGTCGATGATTTCGACCTTGGCGACACATCGTTCAAGGTCTTTGTCGTCGTAGATCTGGTCCTCGACGCTGATGTTGGACACTCGGAGAAAATCCCGAAGCATCATTTGCATCACGGCTTTCGTCGGGTGCGTCATGAAGATACGCCCTTTGAACCCAGTCTTTTCCGTGAAGTGCGGCAGCCCCGCGACGTGATCGATGTGGAAGTGCGTGATCAGGAGCAAGTCGATCTCTTCCGCTTCCACAGAGTCGAAATACGGCAGCGAACCATGCCCAGAATACCCCTAATGCAAATATGTTTGAGCTCAGCCCAAGGACGTGGACAAACGCACCGGGTGCACACCACAGTCCAGCATGATCGTCTTGCCCTGAAACTTGAGGATGATGCACGAACGACCGACTTCATTGCCTGCTCCCAGTGGCATGATACGCATGACATGGCGCTCGTCTCCAGCGTCCTCTTCTCCCTTGCGCTTGGTCGCCATCGCCCGGAACTCAACCCCCGCACACCTGTTAAAACCCATATCGATTGCTAGAGTTTTATCCGTACATTTCGCCAGTGGCGGAAAAACCTGTATCAAGACATTTTTTCAAGATATTATGTCTTACAAGTTGCTCGTAAAAACCGTGGCGGCATACGCCCCCCCCTTTCGAGGAAACCTCGACGTCCTAGAAACCAATCTCGATGCCCAGCGCCAAGCAAGTGCTGCTCGTCGTGTTCTTCTGTGCGTGGGGGGCGAGCGTGGTGGAAGCGATCTTTGGGAACATCCCGTTTGGCATGTTTTGGAAGGGGCGAATTTATGGCCGCATCTCGTGCGAGCCCACCCCGTTGGCCTGTCCAGGCGGGGGTCACGTATTTCAGCTGGAACGGTTGGGGTGCGAGTACCCCCCCTGTCCGCCGACCCTTCCCCCCCCAACGACGCCAAGCCCTGTCATGACTTCGGCGCGTGTCCGCATCGTGCGGGCTTTTGTGTACACAGGCCGCCTCCTTCCCCGACGCCGCCCTTCCAGGAAGCACCGAGCGGACATCTCGCCACATCCGACAGACGAGGTGTACCGCGACGATGAAGGATTCGCCGCATGACGATCGCCGCGACGCGTTCCGCACCGTGTTGGGATTGGTCGTGAGATCATCCAGGGCCACCGCACGCAAGTCGAAGTGTCCCATCGAACTAATGGAGGCTAAAGTCGTACAAGGATGTAGCAAGCATCGAGTGAGTCGATATGGGGCCATGGCGCCACGAGAAAGGCCCGACCAGTCTGCCAGGAACAGAAATTTCCCATCACAATCATCCACGTTGTTAGTGGCCATGAACCATATACCTGGGAGCCACTCCATGGCAACGGCCACCACGCACGCATCCACTCGCACCACTGGCGCACCAGTGTACTGCGATCAACCCCCCCCTTCGGTCGAAGAGGAGTTTTTGTAGCTGGCACAACGAGGTGCGCGGCGTGCTCGCTTCAGTCGCGATCGTCGCAGTTGTCGTGCGTCTCTGTGGGGAAAGGTCTCGCCCTGCGACAAGGACGTGTACCCATGAGTCAACTTTTTTCTCAGACGGCAAGTTCAAGTGCCCGGGGCATCTTCGAAGTTCGCACGTCGCCTTGGCCGCCGGATTCGCTTGCCGAGCGCTGCGTTCGACGGCACGGGGCCATGCCAACGGCGCTGGGATGGGTGTGGCCATCGGCGACAATGGGAATGTCGGCGCGCTTCATAAAAAGGGCCCGGTGACAGAGAGGCCACACACACAACCTTGCCCTCTATCACCGCAGACTGGTACGCGACATAACGCGCTTGCTCCTTGGTCGGCTATGGCGCAATGCAGTGCGGGTAACTCTTGCGCGAACCCATCGGTTCCTTCTGACCAACGATCGGATTCCAATGCTTCTTCGCCATGCGCCTCTCATCTTGAGAGCGTGCTGTGGGCCAATGGTCGGCCCGTGCCACTCTGTGCCAACTGGAATACAGTGCGAGAGCCACGGACCCGAAGACCACCATCGCCATTCTTCAAGTCGCCACTTCCGCCTTACACTGTCATGGCACCGTCGACTCCAGTAGCGTCCGAAAGCCCCCGGTGCCTCTTCAACGACTGCACACACCCCGCCGCCTTGCCGTCCCTCAAATGCGCGTTCCACAAAGGCCGCGGCAAGTGCAAACGCCCCGACTGCCACAACCAAGTGTACGCGAGGCAGTTGTGCGTGCGCCACGGCGGCAAGAAGATCTGCATCGAGCCGCACTGCACGGCGCACGCCCGCGGCAACGCGTACTGCCTCAAGCACGGCGGCGTCGCCAAGCGGCGGACGTGCGAGGTCGACGGGTGCGTCAAGCTCGCCCACGCGAATCACAAGTGCGTCGCGCACGGAGGCGGTCGGTACTGCAAGTCGCCGGGGTGTACATTTCACGCGCGGTTCGCGGGGCTGTGTCTCCAATGCAACTCGGACCTGGCGCCGCTCGACCGTCGAAGCGCGCTCTTGTTGCCGCTGGACGACATCGACTTCTCCATCCTGCAGGTGCTGGCGGTGGAACTCACAGCAATTCAAGGCCACGTGCCAGTGGTCAAGGCATGGAAGCGTGATGACCAGGTCCGTAATATAGTTCAAACATGACGTGGTCGTGCCCACCGTGAATGGCCCTGGACAAACAAAAGCACGCCCGGCAGGTGGTCACCCGCGCGGGGCAGTAGCATCTTGTTGTCAAAGGGTGTGTGGTGTTTGCGAGTGGAGGATTGCATAACGTGGGATGGGCTCTGCACCGCGATGGGGCTCATGCGCCAGTCCAGGATCCCACGTCGTTCTCGCGCGATGGATTCCTCGACCCAAGTGGATTGCGCGATATTCCCACGCCTATCGTCGGTGGCTGGCTCCATTGCTGGACATATCTGCCTGCATGGGACGCGCCGGTACGGTGCGCATTGCCGTCGTGCGCCGTTCCGGTCGCGACTGCGCGCATCCCCTGTCGTGCGAGTCCGCCGCGGTTCGAATTTTACGACCGAGATGGTGGCATGCAGACGCACCCGACGACATGTTGTCCGAAGGAGGACCGAACGCATGGCGACAGTGGACCGTTGTGGCGAGCGCCCCCCGATGAATGCACTGGCGTGCCAAGTGCCAACCCAACGGCACTGTCTTGCAACGTGGCGAGGTCCGCGCATCGAGTCTAGAGCGTCCTCTATCGTCGGTAGATGCATTCGATGGAGCCGCGGACGGGGGACGGGCGAGTTATCGGATAGCATGCGCGCAGCACGCCAGAATCTTGGTCAGAGCCTTTACACGAACTGTGCGCCCGTCGTCCACGGCGGACGAGCAGCGACAGCCACACGATCGATTCCCCCATCGCGTGGGGTCGACCGTCGGGCAGTTTGAATCGGAAGACTATCGATCGAAGACGTGGAATGCGTGGAACGAGGTTCGATCGAGACGACAGCGATGATGTCCACCGTGAAGGCATGCGATTCTCAACTTTCTACGATGGCGATCCCACCGCTTACGCACTGGAGGCGGTCGAGAGTGGCATCTCGTTCAGCCGAGGGAGGCCGCCGCCGCCGCCCACCACAACACGGACGAGAGGTTTCCATCTACCCTGGCTGGCCGACGCATCCAGCAAGCAACTGCGCGGCACACTCCATCGGGGAAAGTTGAATCTCGAGATTCCGTCGGCACCCATTTGTCACTGATCGGCGAAATTCGCCCGAGCAAATATGTCCTGCTACATAGTACTCGCAACCAACAAAGCTACCCTGAGCCGTGTGGTCAGACGACGTGCTTCGCAACGTCCCACCGCTCCAACTTCAAACGACTCCCGAGCACTTCTCAATTTGCCCACACACACACACATCATGTCCCCAACAACTCCCTTCGCCACCCCCCAGGGCCCCCGGTGCCTCTTCAACGACTGCACACACCCCGCCACGTTGCCGTCCCTCAAGTGCGCGTTCCACAAAGGCCGCGGCAAGTGCAAACGCCCCGACTGCCACAACCAAGTGT